TCTGACCGCGGTCGCCGCTAAACGCCGGGAATTGATCAAGGGCGAAGTCGCCTCGGCCTTCCTATAGGCCAACGAGCGGGAGAAGGATCTTTTCATCGAGCCCGACAGCGTCCTCCGGAAGGTCTTCGACGTCAAGGACGGAGAGCTCCTCCAGGTCATCGAACCCCGGTGCGGCACAGGAGAGGCGCCGCGCCTCTGGCGGGGGACGATCAATATCGACGTTGCGAAGTTGGGACTACAGGCCTTGCGAACTTGAACCACGCCTGCGGCGGGTGCGCTGTTCCCAGAAGAACCGCCCCATCGGGGTGGTCGCGCGGGCGACTTCATCCTGGCGGGGGGGAGCGCCAACAAGGTGTGGAACCACATCGTGTACCAGATGCGCCATCTCTACAAGTGGGGCACCTGGGAGGACATGAACAAGGGCATCCTCAACCTCTAGCAGCGCGGCGTGAGCATCACGGCGAACGAGCAGGGCTTCTTCCTTCACCAGCGCGCCTGCGCGGACAGGATCAAGGAGGCTCGCCCGGCAGATGGAGGGCGACGCCGCGCAACGGACTCCCCCCGCGAGAGCGACCAGACAATCTTGAGGGCCTTCTGCCGGGAGGTCTACTGGCTGGGCTCCAACGCGGCGCCGTTCCTGCTCTCTTGGGTCGCCGAGCTGCAGTCCAAAAGATGCCAGAAGGCACGCGCAGCCTCTTCACTGCTGCCAACAACAACGAAGATCATCGAGCAGAACCTGCGCGTGGGGCTCCAGGTGCACAGCCGCCACCTGTCCGACCTGGCCGTCTTCGCTCGGTGCGACGCCGCCTGGGCCAGCCAGCCTGATAGCCACTCACAGGGGCGCCACATTGCCGCGATCGCAGCCGCCGAAGCCATGGGCGGCAAGAAGGCGAAGTTCAAAGTCCTCGACTGGGGCTCAGAGAAGTTGCGCCGGGTAGCGCGCTCGAGCTTCGCCGTCGAAGTCCAGGAAGCCGGGGGCGCGGTTGGCGAACAGCTCGCGGCGCGCATGGTGTTGGCCGACATCCTTTTCAACAGATCGCCGACCCTCGAGTGGAACGCGCTTGCAGCAGTTGCCAGCGGTGCCCGCGACAGACTGCAGGGCGTTCCACGACGGCGCGGCGCGGCCCCAGTCGGCCGGCCTCGGTCTCGAGGAGCGCAGGACCGCCATCGAGGCCTGCTCAGTTCAGTTCAGCCCGCGCGCCAGCCCCGCGGGAGCGACCCCTTACAGGCTAGGCAGTGCTCAAGATTACACGCTGTGTGAGGAACCAAAGGACATGCAACGTGCCGCGCGCGCTACAACTAACAGAGCGCTGCTATCACACGATGACAAGAGCTACCCCAGTTGCTCTTCAACAGCATCGCCCCGTTGAAGATGCGGTCTGCCAACGCGTCGCCTTGGCCACCATCGATGCCGGGGGCTCCACCGGAGCAGTCCGCGACTCCACTTTGTTTGGTCGCCGCTTGAAATCTGCTCTGCAAGCGTAGCCACGCGGGCCGCCTGCGTGATTTCCCAGCTCTCGCGCCCCAGCTCGGCGCGCTTGGTCTCGACGTGCTTCGTGGTCCTCCTGATGCAGTCGACCCAAGATTGAGCGTCGCCGCGTCGGATGCGGAATATCTTCGTTATCATTGTTCACCGTGCCTCCCGGGGCCGAATGCTGGAGGTCGAACGTTTGCAAGCTTACAAGGCAGCTGGGGCAACAACCGCATGAACAAATTCCAGTCTTGAGCGTCGCGGATATGCTCGGGAACACAATTTGTTTTTGAATTTTGCGAAACGCCTCCAATCAGCGTCCACTCTGTTCGAAAACTGCGTTTCATCAAAACTCCCCACGCACAGTTGCCATCCCAGGTAGCGTGCCGCGCCCGCGGTGGGAACCGCGTCGACGCCCTCGCCAGCAACGCGCACGTGCGCAGGCAAGTAGCCAGATCTGTCAGCGAGCACCTTCGTTTTGCCCATGTGGAAATGTCAGACAATAGTTCTCGGCTTCCGTGTGCAGGTCCAATCTCATTCTCTTCGACGTCCACCCTGCTCGAAGCGAGAAGAGACACGTCGTCTGCGAAGCGCAAGTTCGCGAGCGGGTCGTCGGGCGCGTCGACAAACGCGCCGTTAAAATTTGCCCAGCTCCTTCTTTTCAAGATGGTTCCATCGGCGCTTCACTTCGCGGAAGCAGACCTCCATTACCGCGATGAAGAGCAGAGCGCTAATGGGCTCCCCCTGCTCGACATCCTGCTGAAGTTCCAAACTTTTGGAATCTTCCCCGGCAGCAGCAGCGGGAGAGACTGGGTCGCGGTATTTTCCAATAGCGCAACGTGAGCTTCATTCACGTCATGTGCGCGCATTGCATCCCACAGGGGTGGGTGCTCTAGGGCAAGCCACAACATGCACGTAGGGCAAGCCACAAAATCCATTGGGGCAAGCCACAAATCCACACTCAATTCTGAGCATCCTTCTACCAGCAAGGCAACGGCGAGGAGGTGGTCTGCGGTAGAGCACCCCTTTTTGCAAGCTGCTTGGTCCGCAGCTTGTTCACACGCGCTGCTTCTTTGCAACCGTTTTCATAATAGTTTGGCGACGAGCTTGAACGCAATCGGAAGTATTGCGATTGGCTGGTATTTCTTAACAAGGTGTTGGTTACGTTCGCACCAAGGCGGGCAGTTCGCCAGCTATTTGGCGGCTTTCTTCCTGGCCCCAGCATGTCATTGAACAACTAACACTTCAACGCGAAAGCGCCGACCGCTGCACTTCAGCATCTCAGCAACAACCCCAGATTCATCCGCACACCTGCCAGATGTCATGCTGGGCAGAGCGGCATTTCACTAGTCATTGGTAAACTCATGTATGTGGGCATTGCGGCAGGAGTTGCCGGATGATCCACTGCCACTTGCAGAAAATAGTTGTTCGTAGAAACGCGCGAACATGTCTCAGATTTTGGCCTTCGCAACATGCGTTAACTTTCGTCGCCTGCGATGCTGGCTATGTGGTGTTTCTTTTGAGGACGACCAAGTTGCGGTAGCCGGGAGACCCCCCTGAAGTCCTTCAGCATCGAGTCGGTCTTCTTTGTTTTTTCGGATTGGGCCCGCTGCTTGATGAGATTATTGATCGTTTTGCTCAGCTCAAGCCGTTCATTATTATTATCGATTGCGTCCAGTTCCGGCCGTCTCCGGAGCCCTCCGCGAACGCGAACGAGCGCATCGATCTTCGAATCAAGAGCATTACGTTTCTTCTGGGGGCTTTCCTTCTCCGAGAATTCCTGCCCCAACGCATCGAGCAGCGTTTTCTCAAATGAAACCGTTTTTTGAATTGTGCCTTGCGGCGCGACGCTGCAGGCTCCGTCAATTCTTTCATCGACAATTGAAGAATAGTTTGTTTTGTCGACGTTTCTGCCAAATTTTGGGGGGTACGTTCTTCCTTTGGATTCACAAGTCAAACTGCGATAGCGCAGCATGAGCGATCCGAATTTGTGTCAAACCATTCAGCCGCGCAGCATTGATGATCCGAACTTGTGTCAAACATTTTTGTTGCGAAAGCGTTGAGGAACCAACATTTAGTCACATTGCTTCAGAATTCACAATTGTTCCTCGCCGCCTCCTCCAGAAGGAATGCCCTCGACGAGGGCAAGACGCTGGTCAGGCTGGTCCACTCGCACGCGCAGATAGGGGCAGCTGGCAGGCCTTCGGAGTCCTGAAGTTTTCCCTCGAGAAACAAGAATGCTGGCTGGTCTACGGCGAGCACTTCACGAGCGCGAGGAAGCGGGCCGCCCTTGGCAAGGGCATCTTCGCCCCGACGGGACCGAATGACATGCAGTCCGCTGAGGAGGTGGTCGAGAAGAGGCGATCTATGCGGAAGTCGACAACCACGACGGGGAACCAGCCAGGCGCATCCGAGCAGCAGACCACGACAACGCCATCGGAGACCACTTCAATCGTGACGAGGGTTGCTAGCGCGTGCCAGTTTAGCTGTCGGGCCAGCATGGCCTCGGTCACACAGCGGCCCTGTTCCCCCTGTTTGAGTGCTACGCTGTGAATATTTCCGAGCCCTGCCTCTCCATCATCAATTCACAGCTTGCCGTGTGTGCCTGCGTGTGCTCAGCATCTTCCGCCGCTGCCACCTTGGCTCAAGGCGTAGGCGGGCGGGTTTACCTTCCTGCAGGAGCCAGTGAATTCGCTGGCAAGGACTCGTCATCGGGGAAAGTCCGATATAATGCTGGGCAAAGGATGCCCATCAATCACATTTTGCCTTGCATCGTGAAAATCTGTTTCATTCCGAGTATATCCAGAAGAGCCAAGGGAGATCAGCAGCCTGATCCTGGACCTCTTGGGGATCTTTTGGATTCAGACCCTGGGACCCCCCATCAAACGGGGGAGGGATCAACGGGAAAGGGCTTCCTTCCGACGCGATTACGAGATTGCTATATTTTCTCGTGGAGAAGCTTGAGGAGGAAGGTGCACGTAAAGGGGGCGACGGAGACGATGGCTGACGGAGACGACGACTCGAACAGACAAGCCCTTCACGCACGCGGACAGGGTCGGAGGATTCGATTCTTCTCCTCCTCCTCCTCCTCCTCCTCCTCCTCCTCCTCCTCCTCCTCCTCCTCTTCCCTTCCCCTCCTTGCATCTCTACTCCTCCCTCCACCCCCTTGTCAAGGGCCACCGGCTGGGCGCGCCTCCTCGTGCCACGGGTCGGTGGGCTGACAACAGTGCTGCCCCCATCGGCGCCTCGGGGAGCTGCCGCGTCAGACGGGCACGGCGTGTGCGCTCATGCTGGTCCGGGTCGTCCGTTTTCCCCTTCCCGATCCCCCCGCTCGGCGGCGAGATCCGAACACCCTACCCTCGCCGATCCACGATTCAGGCAACTCGATGGGCGGGGGGAGTAGGGTTCGGAATCCGTCGAAAACGCGACATCCGAGCCCTACCCCCGCCTCCCATCGATTCAAGAACATCTCCATGATTGGTGGTGGTACGGTTCGGATGTCTGTCCATCCTTCCCCTCCCTGGTCCAGGAGGGGCCGGACGAGGGCCCCATCCCGCGCGTGGTCTTCGTGGACTTCGCGCTGGCGATCCGGTTCGCGAGCCCGGACGGAACGGGGCACATCGTCGGCAAAAGTGGCGCGGAGGAGGCCCGGGGAGACGGGCAGGTGGTGGTGGTGGTGGCTGCGGCGTTGAGGCGGTCCTCGTGTTCAGCGTTTTCGCCTTTTCGCTTCCGATGTGCTTTTGAGGCCTCTAGATGGCCCCAAGGCGGCCCAGGAGAGCCCCACGAGGGGCCCAAGAGATCCTCCAGAGGGCCTCAAGAGTGCCCAGGTGCGCCACAGGAACGGTCCCAAAAGGCCCCAAGACAAAAATTTTGAGCCTCTAAGGGGAGGGGGGCCTGAATTCATGACCTCCCTCTTTTTGAGCCATGGGGCCCAAGACGGCCCCGAGAGGCTTCCCAGACCTCCCCAAAGAGCCCCAAAAGGGCCCAAAGAAAGCCCGAAGCAATTCCAAAAGGGCTGCCCCAAGAGGCTCCGCGAGGACCCTCAGGGAGCTCCAAGATGGTTCCAATAGACCTCCGAGAACATGCTTCCAAGGCGGTTGCCACACCGCATGCTTCTACACTGCATTGATCTTTACAATTCGCCCGGCGATCTGTTTTTTAATGGGTTGGTGGGGATATTTTTTGGCTCGCGGCTCCAAGGCGAGGGACAGGGAGCGGGCACAACGTCCGGGGCGCGGTACGATGTGGGTTGGTGGGGATACTTTTTGATTTGCGTTTCCAAGGACGATTCCAGAGAGCGGGTCGAAACAAGCTTGGGGCAACAAGCAAGATAATTGCCAGCGGACCAAAGCCAACGCCGGAATGCACATGCGAGGAACAAAATGAACCTCATTAAGCCGATCCAGAACGGCAGCCGACGACTGACAGCGGGGCGTCGCACAATGGCGCCAGCACCCGACAGACCGGACGGCGAAGGGCAGGGCACAGCGGGCAGTTGAAACCCTGGCAGAAGCCCGCCCGTGAAAGTGCAACGAAGGCGAGCAGAAAGGAGCACGTAAGCCTCACAGTTGGGGGGGGGGATACGCGAAGTATCAAGAGTTGTATTCTCGAGATGTACCCCCAACGGAGCCGCAGATGCAAGCCTCTTGGACAGGAGTATCAGCGAGTGTGAGAGCCCCGCTTGTCATCTGCAGCGCGCCACAGATGCTACAATATACGCATCCCCATCTTCAAGTTTCTCCTTCACGCGTCGGTGCAAACACTCATTATGCCCAGCTGTAGAGAGCGCCAGTCCCCAGAATTCGACAGTGAGAGCCCAATGAAGTGGCTTTGCAACGCGCACCAACGATCCGGAACATGTTCGGCCGCATAATCCTAAAACTAAGACCGCTATGAGTTTCGAAGGGGTCGCCATTTGGCCCTGCAGCTGGCGGGAGTTTCAGGAGCCGTGCGCGGCGCCAAACAGAGAATGCGATCCAGCAAACCACCCGCTCTCAACTTGTGATTCGAGCAGCTGTTCGAAGGTGGCAGATTCGGGGCATGAGCGTTTGGGACGTCGGCCGAGGTTGACGTTGCGACGGCAAGTTCAACTTGTAGAGCACCTGTGGAGGAGCATTTGGTTAAAATGCTTACAAAACACGTGCACTCATTACACACTACTTTCCGAGAAGATGAGTTGTTTTTGGAAGTGCAGCAAGTTGAATGGGAGATTCTCTTACTCACCCAGACGTGGTGGCAGAAAGTACGAAAAAGGTGGACGAACAAGAGACGGAAACATGTATTTTGGATCAGGAGGGCTCCAAGGAGCAAGCGGGGTGGGAACAGTTTTCAGCCAGCGCTGGAAACGTTTATTTCAGACGCTCCATCCGGTTTGCGACAGGACCTGCGCGGTCGATGTCCGCATGGCAGGCCAGAACATCAGATTTATCTCAGTGTAGTTTCCGCATGGTGGTTATGAGGATGATGAGGTAGAATGTGACTACGTTCATCTTGAAAGGTTGGTTCGAGGACCTGGGAGGAGAAATTGTATGTGTTTTCTGCTTGGTTGCTGGAATTCAACGGTTGGTGCTCGCAGCCACGGGGATGACGCTGAAACCGCTGGAAAATACGATGTGGGACCAAGGAACGACAGGGGACACTGGCTCGTTGGGTGGGCAACCGCTCGAGACCTTGGAGTTGCAATTTCCGTGTTTGAGAAAATGTTTGAAAAACAATGGACCTATGGAATCGATGGTGTGCAACATCAGCTATATTACTGTTTGGCGGATGTACGTCAGGCGAAATGCATCGAGGACGCGGTGGCGAGCGATGATATCATATTTGGCCAAGATCGCCGTGCATTGAACGTCACATTCGAAATCACCAACTGTGAGTTCGGGCGACAAGAGAACCGCGTGCATCGACTCTACGACGATGGAGGCCAAATAATGACGAGACGTATCAACAACTTCTGTCTGAGACATTGGAGCATGTGCCGTTTCGGGAAGTCGTGTCGGAAATCGAACAGTGGCGCTGTACAATTGAAGACATACTGTTGGAGGTTGCGCAGTCCTGTGACGAACAGAAGCAGATGGAATGTCGTGACCATGTCGCTACGCTACCAAAGACGAGCGGCAAAACCAAATTGCAACAGGAACGACGTGGACGACACGACCAAAGCCATCCAGAAGGACGGCACGGGTCAGCGCACACGAGCCAGGAGAGTATTGGAATACTTTCAAGATCCACAACGGATTCCACATTCTGCGATACTGACAAGCCATTCTGCAGATCGTCCATTCTGGACAGCGACGGCAAGGAAATCAGGAACGCTGGAGAAATTTCAGAAGTACGTGCTACAATATTGACTCTTTGTATAAAAGGTGAAGGCAGCGAGTTCCATCATGCATGCGGTAATTTTCGTGCGCGGCCGTTCCCACGGTCAAAGTTCGAAGCCCGTTGGGGAAGATGAAAAATGGTAAAGGTGTTGACGAACATGGCGTTGTGGCTGAATTGCTGCGCAAAGGAAGCGTTTTGCTTGTCAGGGTGTCCCCATCTGCGTTTTAAGGTTACGGCTGTTCTGGATCAGGGGCGGTCGTTCCCGATGTTTTGATGTTTTTCAATCAGAGACATGTTCAAGAAAAGGGACGGAAGGCTTCCAGAACATCACAGGCTCATCTGTCTCATACCAACTCCATAGAAGTTGTTCAGCCGGGTGTTGTGTGGAAGGATCCACCCAGTGTCAGTTGTTGAACAATCGGTTGATTTAGCGGGATATCGGCCAGGCTTTAGTTGTGGCGACAATTTGTATTTGTCATCGCAGCCGGCAGAACAGTGCAATGAGTTCAACGTGCCGCCATGGATCGCCACGGTCGACGTGCCAGCATACATTTGACAAGTTCGCTCCCAGCTTCTCATCCTGGGTCTGGCACCGTACCGCCGAGCCCAGAAATAGTAAGCTCGCGACGATGTCTTGGGTTGTTTGGGCGCCCTAGGGATTGCAAACTTATGGAGGAGCAGCGAAGCCAGATGATGCGGATAGGGGGTGGAATGAGGACGAAGAGAGGTATTGGGGGAGGGCAACCAGGAAGAGGAGGATCTTCGCGAATGACGTCCAGGGCAAGGTGTGATCCAACTTCGAATGGCCAATGGCGTTCGCGGGTGTCAGCACTGAAGAGGACACGTCTTCCCAAACCAGCTCGTCACTATCGCCACGTCGGCCGATTCGGTTATATGCTAGACCGCTGCGTGCCCGAAGGTTGTATTGATCTTGTTCCCCGTATGGTAAGTTCGTTTTGTTTTCGTTGCGTGTTTCTGTCGATGTGGTTGTATATGTGTGGCGTCTGTCACTGCAGTTACCATCATGCCTCGCATTTATCTTGCCCTATGCCTGCTGCTGCCGTGTCCTTTCGAGCGCCCATGGCATCACCCGCTTGTGTGCGTCTGTTCGTCAACCTGTGCCCCTGCAGTCCGCCCGTCTATCTTTGTTGAAGCTGTGCTGTGCATATGTCGCTCTGCATCTTGTCTTGCTGCAACATCATGGGGTCATCTGCCATGGCGCCTGCACGTTGGGCGCGGGCGGCGAGGTCGCTGGGACGCACCGCTACATGGCGGTGCACGCCCAGCAGGGGGTCCGCCGCGGCGCACCGCCTTTCTGCCATTTTTCAGTTCGGCGTGGGGGGGCATGCAACCCGACCGTGCGAAAGATTGGGGTGGTCCTTTCTTCGTGCCTGACCTCTTCTCCCAGAGGAGGAACAAATAACCATATTGCTACCCTTCGGGCCTCGTTTTCCCCCATTCGGGCCTCCTCAGAGGCCTTCGTCGCCACCATCGGGATTCGCTTCGAAGTTTCGGTCAGAAAACAAGCCGGGAAAGGTCCGGGGAGTAGCGTTATCAATCCCCCATCTTCGCGCACGGCACGTTGCTCTTTCCCCTCTCCCCGTCTGGTTTCCCCAGTCCGCCGCCCCGCTTTCTCCCTATCTGTCTCCTACCGCTTCACCGTTTCCCCTTGCCTCCCCACTTCTCCTCCCCCCATCTCCGGCTCCTCGGTTTTTTCGCCTGGCTCCCACCTCGGGGCGGCCGATTTTGCGGCGAGGTAAGAGTTCATGATTATTCTACATTCGTGTCCTACGCACCTCCAGGTGTATGACTTTTTGTTTGCTGGCCTCCTTTGTGCCGCCCCCCAACCCGAGCTCAAACTTACGGGCGGGAGTGGCTCTCGGGGGCCTGAGCTTGCGTCTGTGGCCAGGCCGTGGGTAGGTTCGGTGGCCGCTCTTGGGAGCCTTGTATGTCCTCGCAATTCAGTTTTTCAGCGTGCTCTAGCTTGCTCTAGCGCCTGGTAGTCGACGAGAAAGTTCTTATTTGGCGTCGACTAGCAGAGATTTAGCGTCGACTTGCGTCGAATAGCGTCGAGTCGCGTCGGTCAGCGTCGACTCGCAAGGGCCAGCAAGATGACATGGGAGGCGCCCGTGACAGGATATAGGAGCTTTGCGGGGCCGAACTGGAGCACGGCGGGGGAACTGTAACCATCCTGTGGCGGCCAGCCAGCGGCGACGCGAGTGCGAAGACGCAAGGCGGCTTTGCCCTTCGCCACCTGCGCGGCTGGCCCTCTGAGTGATCCACGGGCGCCGTGCCGGCGATTGCTGCGTCCCTGCTCGACGAGGTGAAGGACCTCCCGCCTGGCTCGCCGAGTCGCGGGGCTGTTACGGTAGGTTCATGCGGCGATGGCGCGCCGGCGATGCCTGCGAAGGCGCTCAAGGTGTCAATTCCGCATCATATATCGACGCGGAAGCACTGAGGGGCACGGTAACGCCCCAGGACCCGACGGAATTTAACATTGAACGATCGGGGCCGCCATCGGTTCAAGGGTGAACGATCGACGTGGTGTCAAAATCTGCGCGCGCAGAAGCTGCACGAACCTACCGTACGCAATCAGTTATTGCAGGCATATCCGAGGATCGGCCCCAGGCCCCGAAAGGCAAGCACATGACTATAAACGCCTCTCAGGAATTGACTTCTCCGCTTGCAATGGTTCGCGCGAGCGGAGTCAAGATGCGTGCGGCTTTCAATGTTTACCCTCGTCCTTGGCATCATGAAACAGTAGGGGCGGGCAGCCTGTTTGAGTCTCACCGCTTGAAGTTCAAGTTCGGGAGCCGGTGGCTTCGCAGGTTGGTTTCTATGCCGCGCCATCCCGCAGCAGACTCCTCGACTCGCGCACCCGTTGCGCGCTTTCGGTCCTTCGCCACGTCATGGGGGTGCACAGAGAGAGAGAGAGAGAGAGAGAGATAGGCCCGGGTCCAGTCGGATGGAGGGGGCGTACAGCGAAAGGGGGGGGGGGACGAAAATTGCTGCACGCAGCTCGTTTCGGCCCCGCCGCGTGGCGATGGATCGTCGGGTCTACTGAGCATCGAGCTGTGCTTGAGCTCCCGCTGGGTCGACACGCCTTCAGGAGTCTATGCTCGGAGCGTCTGTTGACGTCGGACGTGCAGCCCGTCTGGAGGGAGCCGCTCCCTTCAGACGGCGGAGGGCCAGCGTGGGGAGCTGCACGTGGCCCATCGAAGGGTTTTGCCGTGTGTCGGTGTGAGTGTGTGTGTGTGTGTGTCCCTGGTGAATTCTGGACGACTCGTATACTCTATTCTGGCGTGCGGCTTTGCCCTGGGCCTGTGCCTTCCGGCGTGTTCGTTGCTCGCATGCTATCGGCGATCGACGTTCGATCCGTACCTTTGCTGCTGCCCCCTACTCTTGGTGCCGTGGCCTCTGAGACCATAATTCTGTCTAGATCCTCGCTCCGGCGCCTCGTGGGATCGGGGAGCGAGCAGGGGCATCAAATGTCGATCCCCTGTGCTACACCGCCGTCGAGCTGAGGAGCCTGACTTCTGGTGCCGCTTGAAGAGCTCTGTGGCCGTTCCGCCGCTCCTTTGCTGTCGCCGTAATTAGCTACGCACGCGTCCCGCTGTTAGCCCGACCGCTTTTTGGACAGAACTCGCCGCAGACCAACAACGTGTCTCTCTGCGGGTGGTGTGCAGTCCGTTTAGGCGACGACATCTACACATACCGATACCCATTGTCCCCTAGGCGGGCCCGTTCTGGGCAAAGGAGCTGTGTATACGCCCTCCTAGCCAAGCCAGGAAGGCGTGGCGCATACACCGTTGCTCGTTTCAGGGTAGGCCTGGCATGGGAGCAGTGGATATGCATAGATTTCATCGCCCTATCCTACCAGCCCAGTGCCCGACAGGCCAGTATGGGTCCTCACGGCACGTCGGTCCGGGCAGCGTCAGGCGTTGCGTTTTTGCTGCCATCGGCTCGGGGTCGCCCTTCCGATGTGCCTCTTGCTCCCGCGTCGCACCCTTCTTACAGCCGGGTTTCGGAGAAAGTTTGCACACGCTTGTCCTCATGAATCGGTACGATCGAGTTTGATACGGAAAGAATGAGCTCAGTGATCGACAACAGTCCCTGTTCATTTTGAACAGGACTCGTTGTCGGTGTCGCCGCGGACGTCGCCCATTTGAGACAGAAGGCTGTCTGCCCAACAGCGGCCGCTGTTCAGTTTGGACTACCTCAGTTGTTGAGCATTGTGTCCATTTTTCCGTACCCATTCCCGACGTCCAAAGCATCAAGCATAATCCAATTTTGAACCCAAATAACGTAATGAATGCGTGCCTTCGCTCAGGACCACGGTTTCTAAGGATATTCCTAAACATATGGGCGGTTCCGTCTGGTACTTCTGCAAAACGCGCCCCCCTCTCCCAGGTTTGTTTGTTTGGCCCGTATAACCTAGGTCCCATCCCAAAGGGTTGAGGGTACTTTCATTACTCATCCTATCCGCTCTTGCATCACTGTGCTGGTTGCACTCTGTCAGCCTTGTATTGGCATGGCCGTCATTGCGTTCTCCATGTGCAACAGAGTCCCCGTTGTTTTTGTGTGCGTCTGTGGAAAGTTGAGATTCGCTGAACCTTGTCCTGGCTTAGCGCATCGCGACGGTGTAGCCACCTAGCCGCTGGGGGGAAAGTGTGTGTGTGCCTCTCCGCACGACTTTTGCTACGCCGCACCGCCGCGCGCTTCCCCGCGACGCTAACAAGTGTGTGTGTGGTGTGTGCCTGTGTGTGGGGGATGTTGATGTGTGTGTGTGTGTGTGCTCCGACTCGTCGCCGCGCGCAAGGCCGCGACCGTTCAAGAGTGTGTGGTGCATGTGTGGTATGTGTGGTGGGTATCCGTTGATGGGCCCGCCGCGCTCGTCCCAGCTCGGACTCGACTTTCTACGCTTCGTTGCCGCGCGCGAGGCCGCGACCGCCCAACAAAAAGTGTGTGTGTGTGGTGTGTGTGTGCGTCTGTGTGGTATGTGTCTGTGTTTGTGTCTGTGTATTTGTCTGTCTGTTTCTTTGTGTCTGTGTGCTTGTCTGTCTGTGTGTCAGTGTGCTTGTCTGTGTGTCTGGTACGGAGCCTCTCCCTGGGTGGGGCGTTAGAAGTAGCACATCTTGCTGGTTGGCGCGGGTGTGCTTGCCTTGTTGCTAATGCTCTTGTATTGTGAACAGACAGCTTCCGCGAATCGGTCTGTCTGTCTCTGTGTTTGTGTCTGTCTCTGTGTCTGTCTGTGTCTCCGCCTTGGTCTCTGTCATTGTCTCTGTGTCTGTGTCTGTGCCTGTCTCGGTCTCTATCTCTGCGTTTCTTTCTGTGTTTGTGCTTGTTATGCTGTTTGTGCGTCTGCTTGTGCTTGTGTGCTGTGCGCATGCGTGTTCTTGTGATTGCCCTTGTGCGTGTGCGTGTTCTGGTGTTTGTGCTTCTGCTTGAATGTGTGTTGTTTGTGTTTTTGTGTGTGCGGGTGCGGCCGAAACGGAGCAGCCAGGCGCAACCCACATGGTCATGCGCACGGGTCGGACCCAGGATATTTCACGGCTCCGCTGAGTGCCAACTGTGCGCTGGCACCGATTCCATGTTGGCCGAAGTAATCCTGCCCAGGATTGGTCTATACGCGTGCGTGCCTGCCTGGCCTGACTGAACCAGGAGAGCGTATACATTTATCATGAGCCAAGGATGGACAGGTCAGGACCCATCTGTGCACATTCTGTGCATAGATTTTGCATGCTCCCTTCCCTGCTCCCAGACGTCCGCCGAGAGGGCTGCTCGGCGGGCGCCAGCCCAGGCCATCACCTCTTCAGTTCAGGAGTTTGTCGTCAAGACGTGTCAGCATTTCGGGGTTCTCATGTTAGTTGGCACCTATGCCCGCTTCTGGGCGCCTCGTGGGCGCCCAATGCGTTGGGTAGGTCTCCCGAGATTGTGCCTCTTTGGCGCCCGTGCCCGCTTTCGGTGGCTAGGTTCCCTGAGGTTTCTGAGCGTCGGCGCCGGTGCCCGCTCGTGGGCTCCGCATGCGCTGGGTAGGTTTCCCGAGGATTCGCCGCATTGGGGCTGACCCGCTCGGGGGCGCCTGGTGGGCGCTCCGTGCGCTTGGCGGGTTTCCGGGGGATTCGCTGCAGTGGCGCCCTTGCCCGCTCGTGGGCGCCTCGTGCGCTCCCCGGGCTGTAGGTTCCTGAGGTTTGCCTCGTCGGCTCCCGTGCCCGCTCGAGGGCGCCCGTGGGCGCCCGGTGCGCTTACACGATACAGTTTCCGCAACATGGTCTGCACACTTTAACGCATAGCTTCCAACTCATGGTTCACACCGCATATCTCACACCACATGGCTTCCACAGCACAGCTTACCACATACGGATTGCATGCATTGGTTCGCTTCCACCATATAACTCACACCGCATAGCTTACACGGCATAGCTCACACCATGTAGACCTCACCGAAAAAATATCACGGCATTGCATTATTCACATGTTATAGTTTACAGGGTATAGCTCAAAACATATGAAGTACATCGCACAGTTCCCACAACATAGTTTTCATCGCATCGTTTACACACCATAGCTTGCTCCACATAGGTCACAAACCCAACGCTTACACCACATAGCTTTCCACACATAGTTTACACCATGTAGCTCATACGTCAGAGCTTACGCAACAAAGCTTGCACTACATAGCTTACACAGCATAGCTTTCACCTTCACAATCCAACAACACGCTTTTCGGGGCCCACGCTGGCTAACATGTTCATCAGAGTGAGGGGGCCGAACGGTCATTCATTGTCCCTGGGTGCGTGGCTGAAGTGAGATTCCGCGGTGCGGATTCGTGTTGTTGTTGTTGTTGTTTGTTGTTGTTGTTTGTTGTCGTCGTCCCACCCGCAACCCGCCCCGCGACCCACCCGCGACCGCGACCCCGCGACCCACCCGCGACCCACCCCGCGACCCACCCCGCGACCCACCCCGCGACCCACCCCGCGACCCACCCGCGACCCACCCCGCGACCCCCCCGCGGCCCACCCCGCGACCCACCCGCGACCCACCCGCGACCCACCCGCGACCCACCCGCGACCCACCCGCGACCCACCCCGCGACCCACCCCGCGACCCACCCCGCGACCCACCCGCGACCCACCCGCGACCCACCCCGCGACCCACCCGCGACCCACCCGCGACCCACCCGCGACCCACCCACCCCGCGACCCACCCGCGCGACCCACCCGCGACCCACCCCGCGACCCACCCCGCGACCAACCCGCGACCCAAACCACGTTCAGGGTACAAACCACATTTTTCGGCGCCTGCGGCGGGCATCTTTTGAATCGTTCTAGGTGGAGAGACCGCGGCCCACCCGCGACCACGTTCAGGGTACA